AAGAAAGAAAAGAAGAAGAAGGAAAGAAAGAAAGAAAGAAAGAAAGAGGGAGGGAGGGAGGGAAGGAAGGAAAGAAAGAGAAAGAAAGAAAAAGAAAGAAAAGAAGAAGAAAGAAAGAAAGAAAGAAAGAAAGAAAGAAAGAAAGAAAGAAAGGAAAGAAAGAAAGAAAGAAAGAGGGAGGGAAGGAAGGAAGGAAGGAAAGAAAGAAAGAAAGAAAGAAAGAAAGAAAGAAAGAAAGAAAGAAGGAAGGAAAGAAAGACTTATTAATTCCCTCCAAGGTCATACAGTTATACAGTCACCTACCGGTAGAACTGACATTTTCTTCAAGACAAGCTAATTCCAGAAATTGAAATTTCAACTCAACCTCTAGTGCCAGTCCAAATTAAAACATGAAAATTTTAAAACTCCAATAACAATTATTCCACAGTATCATGGTGTGTTGTAAAGACCAAAAGGAAGTTTAATTGTTTAGATGTGATCTGTCTCTTTGATTTATTTTACAAGAACGGGGACTTTGATGTGATAATAAGCGGGTAATTATTACATGTGGCCAATGATTACAACAGAAACTATTTCCAGTCCAATTGCTGATTCGGTTCCAATAGTCATTTTACAAAGGTACAAAGCAGATGATTTCAAAATCCCAGAAATAACTCAGCAACCCTCTGAGACCTGTCTGGTGATACTTACTGCAGATGCCATTACTCCACGTGAATGAGAGAATAGTGGTTGAGCAAGAAGATTTAGCCGAACATAGATGACTTCTGGAAAACCAGGCAAAGCCTCTACCAGCTGCCAGTGAGCCTTGGAACTACAGGACCTGTACAGTAAAAGAAGGCAAAGGGCTGCCCCAGGCTGTCAGAACTTATAGTCTGCCACATTTGTTTTTTTTGTTTTTTGTTTTTTTTTTAAGTAGGAGGGAGAAGTAGGTCATGACTCTTGCTGCCTAAAGTATGTGGGGTGATTTAGTTCCTGTAACCTGGGGAGAAAAAAAGGAAAAGCTTAGAATTTTGGCACTCATGTCCTCTATAAATCTCAGTAATCCCCAGTGTAGTCACTTTCTGAGTCATTTGATATTTAGAATTTGAATGTGGTTGTCAGTAGGAGGTCTCCGTGCATTCTGAAAGAAAATGGAAGAAGTCCTGTTTGGATAGTGTTCTATTACGATTTCTCTGTAGAACTGATTTCAAATATTTGCTGTACAAGACTACCCAGCGGGTTCTAAGTAAAATGCATGTGGCATGGGGGGATCTCATCTCCACGGCGATGAGAGAGAGTCTCTTCAGACAGCAAAGGGACCAGTGTGGCTCTCCTCAACACACACAATTCTTGTGGGCTAGATGCCTTTCCATGCCAAAGGCCAACATGCTTATGGGCTAAACAACCCTAGTGAGGCCAGTTCATAAGCCCGCAAATAGCTTGTGAGTTCGCCAATATGAAACTTTCCCATTTAGCTTCAAATGTCAACTTTCACAGAACTTCAACAAAAGGAAAGAATCCACTTTTGACTTAGGCAATGTCGAGGTTGTCTTACGTCTTCCCTCCTGCCACACATGTTCAAGTACCGGCCTATCTGCTAAAAACTGTTAGAGTGCCAAAAACAGCACGACCCTGGTGTACACAACCTCACAGCTCATATTACACACTGTCAGTGACGACTGTGACTGTGTTAATTACATAAAATTGAGCCCCGGCTTGGTGATCAGAGACTCTGAATTGTCCCTAATGATATAAACATGTCCTCATCGACCCAGATGATTTATCAGCGTGAAATGCTTTTCCTTTCCTCCTCCCGATCTTTCATCTTCTAGTTCTGTGCTGCTGCGGCATCAACCCCCACCCCTCTCTATCTCTCCTCTAAGGCAGAATAAACTCTCCCTCCTTTCACTCTTTCTGTTTTCTGCCTACATGTCTACGTTGAGTGTGGCATGTTGACATCAGTCTCCTCCAAGAGACAGCAAACTGAGAGAGGAGCCATGTATGATTCCGGACCTAGCACATAGCCATGTTTAATAAGCACTGACACATAGATGGGCAATTAAGCAACTTGTGAATCATGTCGGTGGCAGCATAGCCATGATAGAAAATTGGATTTGTTTTTGAAACAGAGTATGAAAGACTGCAGAACTTGCAAAACTGAAGCAGGAGGATTGTGATTCAGAAGCCAGCCAGGGCTACATAGCGAGACTCTGTCTTAAAAACAAATCTAATGTTCTATCAACTTTTAAATGAACTATTTTTAGTTGGTATACAAAATAGTGGATCTTGTCATGACATTTTAAAACATACACATCACTGTAATTTGTTCGTGTTAACTCATCTTCCCTCCCATCACCTCCTCTGGTTTTGTGGATCTCCTTCTTTTCCCTAAGAGTCCTCTCTCTCTCTCTCTCTCTCTCTCTCTCTCTCTCTCTCTCTCTAAGTGTGTGTGTGCATGTGTCTGTGTGCATACACTTGCATATAGCTTGTTAAAGCTAGATTCTATAAATGAGAAGCAATACTTTATCTGTTTTATCCCATTACCCTCTTATTTTACCCTCTCCCTCACTTTACATCTCTTCTTCTTCTACTTGTATATCAAATACATA